AGAAGGGCTGGAGAATGGGGGCTACCACACTCCTCACAGCTGGCTGGCGTGCCCAGGCTGAACTGGAGGGCTACTCTTTCCAAATCCCATGTCCAGGGAGGACCACACTGGGGAGCAGCTTGTCCTTTCCTGTGGTCACACATTAGCGTGTGGCTTTTGACACATGAAGAGCTTTTGAAAGACTGAGTGCTGTAGCAAACTTTTTTTTTTTTTTTTAAGTAGGCTCCACGCCCAGTGTGGAGCCCAACGTGGGCTTGAATTCATGACCCCAAGATCAAAACCCGAGCTAAGGTCAAGAGTTGGACGCTTACCTACCCGAGCCACCCAGGCGCCTCCCAAGTAATCTCTACACTCAACGTGGGGGTCGAACCCACAACCCCGAGATCAAGAGTCGCCTGCTCCACCGACTGAGCCATCCAGGCGCCCCTGTAGCAAAACTTTTAATCTGCTCTATGTCTGTGAAGACAAAACCAGAAAGAAATGGAATGATGGACCCGCATTCCAGCTGTAAGCCATGCTCTCCCATGAAGATGAATGGATAGCTCGTTAGGCGATGCCACTCCAGGTTGACTTCCATGTTTACTCACGAAGATCTACAACACACGCGTGTCATCCTGGTTAAGTACTTACAGTAACTACAAGAACAGCGATCCAGGTGAATTTGTCACTAAGTTCAGTCTCAGGATTTCACAAATCAAAACAAATGGCTGCCTCAGGGCGCCTGGCTGGCTCAGCTGGAGGAGCGTGCAGCTCTTGATCTCGGGGTTGAGTTTGAGCCTCACGTTGGGTGTAGAGATTACTAAAAAAAAAAAAACAATAATCGTAAAAACAAAGGACCGCCTCAATGTATACACATATCTGTCTGGAGAAGAGCAGAGCAGGAGGGAGAAGGGTCAGTTGCAGGAATCAACAACCCCACTCTTTAGTGGCTTAAAAGAGCACAGGGTTATTTTCCAGCCCACACTGATCTCAGGTTGGCTGGGAGCGCTGTCCCCATCTGTCCCCTCACTCTGGGGATGAGAGGCCACCATCCCAGTGGAACAGTTTTGTGTCTCTAGGTCATTTCTGCTCATTCTTCAGGGACCAAAGCTCATGCCTGGTGACACAACTATGGGGTGGGGAAGGCAGCGCAGACCCCATCACGTGCCCCGGAGAACAGGCTGTCTGTGATGTCCTCGACTTTCCACCCGATACGTTTTGCATTGCATCGACTTCTGTGGGCGAAGCTCTAGGGGAAGGAGGAATGAGAGCGTCCAGCCATGAAGGGGCAGCTTGCTCGGTCCTTTCTAAGTGGACCAGGATGAGTGTCAACTTGCAAATGCATTTTGATTCCAGTGGACACACTGAAAAGTCTGCTCTAAGTGTTGTGCTTCAAAATGGTCAATACTTAACGTGCTGGGAACGGACAGTTTGAAAAGACAGAAAAATGGTAGGTAAGCTAGAACAAGTGACAGTACACAGCTTCCAAGTCTCCTTCAGGGGGTCTCCAAGCACAAAAGTTAAACCCAGTGCAGGCCACACCTGCTTGCAGGAACTCTTAGCTTCGCTTCCCCAGGAGTCCACGCTGGTCTGGGCAGCTTGGCCTCCTATGGATAGCAATCCTTTTGAGGGCAGACCCCCATGCACTTTCATCCTGTGCTTAGCAGAGCCTCCTGCTCGGCCGCTGGAGCTGGCCTCCCACCCACTCTCCTGCCTGCTCCAGGCCCAGCGCGGCTGCACGGGGTGCCTCCTGCCCTTGGCACCCCGGTGCCCCGAGTCCTCTAGAGAATGACCAACCTGGTCTCCCACCACCCGACACACCTCTGGACCATTGCTGAGGAGTACCTTGGCCTGGGACACCCAGCCCAGCTCTTCACTGCCTGCAGGACCCGACTGCTCTCTCCCTGGCGTTTAGTGCGGACGGTCTCTCCACGATGTGACCCCTGCACTTGCTGCCAGGACAGCCAGTCAGGGCCAGGCCGGCTGCGCTGTGAGGGGCTGAGCAGGTGCGGCTGCAGGTGCGCAGACCTTTCTGGGGTGGCGACAGATCCCTGTGACACAGCGCGGGCGGGAACGAGGGGACAGTGCTGGGACGACGACGGGGAGGCAAGCCTAGCCATTCAGCGAGGGGGAGCAAGGGTGGGACCCGGCATGTGTGCTCTGCCAACAGCCCCCACTCCCAGGCCTTTCTGGGGCCCTCCTGGTCACTGCTGGCTGCCAGAGCAGGCCTGCCCTCCAACTCTACCCTGTTCTGGAGAAGGGGTGGGGACACAGCTGAGGACAAAGGTCATGTGAGGAGAGGGCAGTGGGGTTTCAGCCCAGGGGGGGCGGGGGTATGACCCCACTGAGACCCTAGCAGCTGCTGCGTGAGGCTGCTCAGGATGTAGGGCCTGGGGCGGCCGGTGTACGAGGCCAAGGGCAGACATTTCTTGAAGCAGCATGACCAGAATTTTCTCACATCCTGACAGCTTTGTTCTGGGTCCAGCTGCTCCACCGCCAGCTGACCCCCAACGCCCAGGTGTGAGGTGTCCACAGTCAGGAGAACCCCGTCCTCAGGGCCACCGGGGCCTCAGTGTCCCCACCTGTACCCGGGAGGATGGCATCTCGTGTTTGCAGCGGTGGGCTGAGGGACAAAGCCCGGCGCCCTGGGGAGCGGGGGTGGGGACAGCCCGTCCCAGGGCGCACTGGGGTCCTAGGGTGTGGGCCCTGTCTGCCTTGTCCCTCCCCAACCATGCCCCATCCTCTGCAGGACCCACGGAAGTCCTCTAGGACTGTACCCAGCTGGGGCTCCGGCGAGGCTGATAGGTTTGTGGCAGGATGCTGCTCGCCGCTCACGCTCCACGAGGCCTCCCATTCCCCTGCCTGGTCCATGACACCTGCTGGTGGTGGGGAGGGCACGGGCCCTTGCACAGGCCCAGGGGCCGAGGGCGCCCTCACAGAGAGGATCCCCACCCCGGCCGGCGGGGCCCAGAGCCCAGAGGCACCAGCTTCTCCCGAGGCGGTTGTCGTCTGAAGTTCTCGATAGTTTCACCCCTGATGGCCTTTTGTACCTGAGGTCTGCTGCCCCGTGAGGCCCACGAGCACAGAATACCCACAGACCCACGAAGGGTTCCCAACCCTTCCTTCTGCCAGGCACTGGCTGCTTCTGCAGGGCGGATGTCCCTGAGGCCCAGAGAAGGGGACTGGGTCCCATGCGCCCTACACTTCCCCTTTTGCCACTTGCTAGCACGAGCAGTGTGGGACAGGAGCCTCTGCGCCCACAGCCCCTTTCTGTGACAGCTCTGGGCAGCACTGTGGGGCCAGGTGGGCCACAGGTCAATTCCAAAGGCGGCTGCAGGTCAGCATGTGGGGCAGGGTGGGCGGGGACTGCCCCAGCTGGAGTGTCAGGGACAAGTCCCCGGTGTCCGAGGCCCGGTCTCTGCTCCCTCCCTCTGAAGATGGGCTCCTCGACCAAAGACAATGTGGCTCTGGGGCACACACCTAGCAGGTCCATCACTCACACCAGCTCCGTGTCCTCTACGCGCGTGACCACCCCCTCCCAGCCCTCCCACAGCCACCAAGAGGCGTGTGGGCAAGGCAGTTTCTGGTCAAGCTAGCCTATCCTAAAACCTTCGTGTTTGCTCCTGGCACATTCAGGAGCACCCAGGGTTCCAGAACCACCACCAGGGAGCAGCTCCCAGGGCACCTTCCCCAGCTCCTGCAGCCAAAGCAGGGAAAAGACACAGACCCCTCCAGAGCGCTCTGCACGGCCAGACCCTGGGAGTGAATAGGGGTCTTCTGCGCCCTGCAGGCATGCAAACCACCCCCACGGGACCCCCTTTGTGTCTGCATACGTTGGGGGACCGGCCCGGGGCCCAGACCCGCAGGGCCAGAGGAGGTTCCCCACCTGCCCGCAAAGGGCCGACGCCAAAATGATGCAGGCTCCCCAACTGTGAAAAGGGGTCCCCCAGAGTGGAGGTGAGCACCCACGAGAAGCCCAGCCTAGAGCCAGCACTGCTGGGCTCTGGTTGCAAAGACTCGAGGACCTGCCGGCCTAGCCAGGGTGGCCGAGCAGGTCCACACCGCCCCTGGCTAGAGCTGCTGGCTCTTGTCACGCCTGGTGCCTGGTGCTTCCTCCTGAGAGCAGCCGGCCTCACATCTGGGGCGTGGGGAGGGCTCTGCCTGGGCCTCCCGCCACCCTAGCGGCCTTCCTGGAGGAAGCAGTCATGTGCCTCAGTAAGGAGCACTGTGGCCACTGTGGGGCCTGTGTCTGGACAGCGGTCTGTGTCTTCCTCCCGGACCAAGAGCCTCCATGTGGGGGCGCCTGGGTGGCTCAGTCGTTGGGCGTCTGCCTTCGGCTCAGGTCACGGTCCCAGGGTCCTGGGATCGAGCCCCGCATCGGGCTCCCTGCTCCGCGGGAAGCCTGCTTCTCCCTCTCCCATTCCCCCTGCTCGTGTTCCCTCTCTCGCTCTGTCAAGTAAATACACAAAACCTTAAAAAAAAAAAAAAAAAGAGCCTCCATGTCTCAGGGTCTGCAGCTCGTGGCTGGTGAAGGCGTGCCTGGGCATCTCCCAACCGCTCGACCTGCCCCCCGCACACACTGCTGGGCCCCCCGCCTCCCTGAGAGGCACAGCCAGAGCGGCACCTTTCCTGGGCGCCTGGGTATTCGAGTCCCCAGGCCAGGTGGTGTTCACAGAACAGCCCCCAGCATGTAAGCACTGCCAACCCTTCCTGGAAACCGGTCCCTGAGGACCTGCACAGATGGGCCAGCCTCTTGGCCAGAGGGACAGCACGCCCCCACCAAGCTGCACCAGGGTCCCAGGGGAGCAGGACGCCGACCCCACTTCTCTATGGCCGCCCAACCCCAGGCGGAGCCCCTGTAGAGGCCCTGGGCTTTCCACGGCTGGCACGGGAAGGGAACGCTGGCTCAAGGGCCTGGAGATGCATGGTGAGCCTGCAGGGGTCAGAGGCCACACAAAAGCATCATCACCTCCCAGTATCCAGTGCTTCTCGAGGTGGAAAGCCACACTGGGTGTCCCATGTGAGCATTTATTTCGGTGATGGTTGCAGTAACTGCCCAGCAGCAGGAATGGGCTGGTTTGGAGAACAGAGAGCAGGCTCCATCTGACCCCATGGTCCCCACACTCGTGGCCAAGGCCGGGACACAAGGCAGGCCGCAGGGGCCCCAGCCCAGAGGTGAGGACAGCAGCTCCCTGGGATGTGGTCCCAGGCCTCCTGGCCGTGCCTTACCAATTGGGGCTGGGGACCTGGCTCTGTGGGGTGGGGAGGGACAGGCTGCATGTCTAGTCACAGCTGCAGCTGGGCAAAGGGGAGGGGGCCAGTGAGCTGGGCGCCCCACAGCAGCTCAGGCTCGAGTGCTGGGGACCACCACAGCAAGGCTTGGGGCTGTCGTCCCTTTCAGTGACCCCAAGGGTCGTCCCAGGACTGCACAGGAAGGAGGCGAGTGCGGCAGGCTGCGAGAGGGGCAGGGCTAGAGCGGGAAGACAAGCAGAGCTCACTTCTGCAGGGCCTGCAGCTCGGGAGGTAGATTGCACCCTGTGTAGACACCGTTGGTAATGCTGTATTCCAGTAAAGCACCAAAACAGGGATCCTGTTGAAACACCAAGGAGCCATGCCTCAAACCCCGAGCCATCTGAGCGGCACCCTGTCCCCAAGCCCTTCCCTCCTCAGGTGACTCACTCTGACCAGAACATGAGGATTTCCCAGCACAATCAGCAAGGCTTTGGGTCTGGTGACTGCAACATTGAATCTTTTTGAGTTGGATAAGAAACCCAAAAAATATCTATCATCTTCAAATCTATCTTCATTTGACCGTACCTAAAAAAAACACAAAGATGAGTAAAAAAGGTATTTTAAGTTTTTCTGATATAGAAAGAAATTTGGTATTTTAAAAGCATTTAGAAACATTAGACATCAGTATAACTCCATTTTTGGTTAAAAAAGGAAAAACCCAGCGTTGTGGGGGGAGCCTCACGAGGCCCTCTCACGTATCTCTGGGTGTAACGGTCCCTTTATCCTACCTGCACTTCTAACTTATCTGCAGTTAAATGTGCTGCTCAGTGAAGAGAATTTGCGAGTGAAACATGGGGTTTTGAGAGTTACAGCTGGAACCCCTCGGGTGGCAGCTGAGCCGCTGCGGCCTACGTGCGGGCGCCCGTCTCCCGCTCGGCCCTTTGGTCCCCTTCTCTTTCAACACCCTGTCCCTCTTCTCCAGCATATTTACCACTTATTCCTGGATTCTCTTTATTTTTGTGTCTGAGGCTGAGTATTTTAAGGAGCTCCCACAGTTAGGGCTTGAGATGAACCCTCCATCCCGCAACTGCTTTTCTGCGCCGACGGGCCTCTGCCACTTTCTACTGGAATGTACCACAAACCCGACGAACAACAGTGGCCTCAGACACACTGTCACCCCCACTAAAAACAGGAATACCTACAGTGGAGATGATGATGGCCAAATATTCTTGCCCTTGAAACTCCTCTACTGATCCGACCTTTATGTCCATCAGATCAACATTTCGCAAGAGAATTTTGATTTTTTCCACCTTTGAAGCAGATAAAGGTTAAAACTTTACAAATTAGACAATTTCTTTATATATTTAAGCATAAGCCAAATATTAACCAATCCTATTTCATCGGAGTTGATTTAGAACGCTTGGGGAAAGGGGGCAGTGTGTGTCGGGAGCAAGGCTTCCCCGTCCTGATGGGCACACAGCAGCGAGGGTGGGGGCACGGGCCTGCTGCTCGGTGGACATGGCCACCTCCATGGGGACAGTGCGGGGACCCTCAGCCGGGCAGAGGCCGGGAAGCAGGCTTTGCACAACCACGGCAGGAAGGCAGGGAGATGTCTCTGTGAAGAGCGAGTGGGAACAGTGAGTCACGAAAACAGGACGCTGTGCTGCTTGTCTAGAGACAAGGCTCTCCGAGGGGTGCTGGTAAAAGAAAAACCATTTTGAAATCTTGGAGAAAAGCTCAGCGCAGGGGGAAGCTTCTGTTCCCCCCGGGGGCACGGAGGGTGGCCCCTCACCTGCCGCCAGGTGAACCAGACCGAGAGCTCCAGCAGCTCCCCCCACCCCCCCAGGTCTGAGCACGGGGAGTCTGGGTGTGGGGCCAGCCTGTGGGAGCCCCCCGATGGGCGGGGGCCTGCAGTGGCTGTGGAGGGACTCGGTGCCACGTAAAGGAGCTTGTCTCCAATCTCCTTCCAGACTCTGTGACCAAGGACGCTGAACGGTCCACACCTGCTTTCGGTAGGGCGTGATCACACCGATGTCATTCGCAGACACCTGGCTGGAGATGCCCCTGGCCAGGAGGCAGCAGTAACGCATGACCTGGACAGCTTCGGCCGCATTGAACCACGACGGGCTCCTCCCTTCACGAGCTTCACTGCCCTGAGTTAATTAGGAGACAAGAGAATGGGACATCCATCACAACACTTCATTTCCTCAACAGCCCCCTTGTAAAGGGGACTACGAACAAGGAAGGAGCAGAAGCAGGTGCTGGGAGTACGGCGTGAGTAAGACTGAAAATACCCCGCTCTCCAGCAGGCAGACTGGCTTCAGCTACGGTGAGACCCACCACAACCGCAACAAGAGCCCAGAGGAGAAGGGCTGCTTGGGGGCGGTGTGTGATCTGCTGCAACGGGAGTGGACGGTCAGCGAGGCCGGCGCCAACAGCTGCATGTACAGGAGGGCATGCTAGAAACAGGGAAAGGTGACCAGGGCAGCCAAAGCCTAGGGGGCCAGGGTGAGAGGCATCTGGCCAGCTGTGGTCAGTTCAGCAGGTGGCAAGGACAGCCCTGTCACAGGCCAGGCAGGGGACCACGCACTCAGAGCCCCACTCCCTCCCCACATCTAGGTGTGGGCCTGCTCAGCCAACCAGCACAAAGACATGCAGCAGACCAACAAGCACACGAAGGTGCTCAGCATCACTCATCATCAGGGAGACACACATCAAAACTCCCAAGATCCCACCTCACACATGGCTACTATGAAAAAAAACAGGTGTTGATGAGGATGTGGAGAAACTGGACCCCCATCCACTGCTGATGGGAACGTAAGTTGGTACAATCACCGTGGAAAACAGTGTGGAGGCTCCTCAAAAAATTAATCACAGAAATACGTTCTGACCCAGCAATCCCACTTCTGGGCATACACCCAAAAGCAATGAAAGCAGGTCTCAGAGAGGTACTGTCCAGCTGTACTTAGAGCAGCACCTACTCACAACAGCTAACATGTGGAAGCAACCCCGCTGTCCCCCGCCGGCCGGAGGGACAGACAAAATGTGGCCATCGGCATCGTGGAGTAGTACTCAGCCTGCTGACACCTGCCACGACCCGGGGGAGCGCTGAGGACACTGTGCTGAAACAAGCCAGACCCAGAAGGACAAATCCTGTCTGGTTCCACTTCTAGGAGGCACCTGCAGTGGTCAGACCCAGGGGGACAGAGAGCAGACGGCAGGGCCGGGGAGGGGGCTGTGGGGAGAGTGCGTGATGGGGACAGTTTCAGTTTGCGGAGATGGAGAAGTTCTAATAATCGGTGGTAAAACAATGTGAATATATTTAACAGTACTGAATTGTACACTTAAAAACGGCTAATGGAGTAAACTTACATCATACGTATTTTACCACATGCACACACACAAGAGTACCAGATACAGCAATTAGAATGCATTAATTTTGAGGAGTTTTAAAAAAGATTTTATTTATTTGAGAGACAGAGATTGAGAGAGAGAGAGAGAATATAAGCAGGGGGAGGGGGAGAGGGAGAAGCAGGCTTCCCGCGGAGCAGGGAGCCTGACGCGGGGCTCGATCCCAGGACCCCAGGATCATGACCCGAGCCGAAGGCAGACGCCAAACGACTGAGCCACCCAGGCGCCCTTGGCCATACTTTTTTTTAAAATTTTATTTATTTATCTGAGAGAGAATGAGATAGAGAGGAGAGAGGATGAGAGGGGGGAGGGTCAGAGGGAGAAGCAGACTCCCTGCTGAGCAAGGAGCCCGATGCGGGACTCGATCCTGGGACTCCAGGATCATGACCTGAGCCGAAGGCAGTAGCTTAACCAACTGAGCCACCCAGGCGCCCGGCCATACATTTTTAAAAGCAAAGAATTTACAGACCTTAGTTCTTGATCAGAAACTAATAAAATTAGAAATAAAAAAAAAAGAGGTAAACAGCATTCTTGGCCACTTGGAAATTAAGAAAAATACTTCTCTATAACCCTTGGATCAAAAAAGAAAATAAAGTTATAAATGTCCAGAAAGTTATGAAAGGAGGATCTCTCAGCAGACACACGTGGAAAGAGAAAGCTACAGGATGGCATCCCCAGTGCCTTCCTAATTAAGAGGATGAGGAGTATGGGAATAAAGTGTCCATCTTGTGGGAATTACAACAAAGAAAACAAATAATGAAGTTAGTAAGGGGGATGCTTACAGACAAAGCTGAAACTAATGAGCAAAACAAAGAAGAGAAACATAAGTAAGTCCAAAGCTGGCTTTTCTCAATGACACCAGGGGTTGCGTCATCCTTCCCGTGAAGGGCCAGACAGTACCTCAGGCTTTGACAGTGCTGTGCTGTCCTATTCAACTCTGCCACAGCAGAAAGAAGTCAGAGATCAGCCACCTGTTCACTGAGGCGCAGGCTTCCAACCCTCCTCCTTTACCAGGACGAGACCACAGCGACCTTGGCGGCCCCTCCTTGGGCCACCCTGGGGCTCAGCCCTGCCCTACAATGTTCATGCGGCGTGTTCTACTGCGCTTCCTCTGCTGGACATGGGGACAGAGCAGCGAGTCAGACAGGGGTCCTTCTAGAGCATCCCCAGGGGAAGGTGTACGTCAGGGCAACACTCCCACGAGGGGGTACTTGCCAGGGAGTGTGTCTGACGTTGCACGCCGGGGACTTGGGAGTGAGTGTGCAAGGGGAGAGCCAAGGGCCAGGCCTTGCCAGCAATCCTGAGGCCATTAAACTGGTGATGAAACCCTTCTTGCTCCAATGAAGGGAGTAGACTGCGTTCTCTGCAACCCAGCCCCAGAGGCCTTGTCCCCACTTTATACTCAGGGCATAGAGTGGAGTCTGGGACACAACTGGCCCTTAAAAAATCCTTACTAAATAAATAAATGTTTCTGGACTTTGTTCCATTGACCTATGGGTTTTTTTTTTTGAATCTATAAAAGTATGCTTTTATTTGCTATAGTGTGTAGTATGTTACCTAGCTGGCTTTGTATCTCATTCTTCTACAAACACTTTCTGTACACTTAAAACACACTTGCACATTTATAATCACTTTCTCATGAAAAAACCCACTGTGACTTCTATGTAGATTGCATTAAACGTATGAATTAATATGGGCAGAACAACACTGGTCTCTGTTCACGGACATCATGTGCCTGTCTCGCTTCGTGCACTCAGGTTAAGCCTTCTGACTCTGCAGCAACGCTGCTCACCTTGCCTTAGGCTGACTTCTAGGTAATGGCAGAGATCGCTGATCCCCTGCTGCAGCTTCTCAGTTGTTTTTCTGATATACAGGGAAGCTTCTGAGGATGGATAGAGCAGGGAGAGAACAGACACAAGGCCGGGAGAAGGCACAGCCGACAGGGGCCTGTGCTGAGCGTTCCAAGTTGGGAGCTGCTGGTCTCACCACAGGACCCCCTTGCCTTGAATTCTCCTTTGTCCAAAAGGCAGGCCCTCCACAGCCACACCTGAACATGGCCTCTACCTCCCCATCCACCTCTGAGGGGGCAGGCAAATCCGGAGGTACGAGCCAGCGCTGCTGTCGCTGGGGCTCATGCACCCGAATGCAGGCTGCGTGGCGGAAAGGGCAGACGCCACCCCAGGGGCACCCAGCACTAGCTCCTCCTGTCCCAGGGCCTGGGTGCAGCCCCAGTTCTGGATGAGAACTGGGGTGGTTAATGCAAAAGATGACTCTGGTTCTAACCACCAAATTCCAATACAAACTGATTTTCGGGCACACCTGTCATTTTTTGGGGTACTGAGCATCTAGTGCTTTCCTACTGGGGAACCCCCACCCGGTGAGACCATGGTGAGTGAGGCGGAGGCTCTCCCCACTCCGTATCCGTTCACTCGACACTTGAGGTGTGTGGCGCCTCCTGGTGGGCATGGGAGCTCCTGGTACCCAGGCTCCCCCAGCTCTGCTCGTCACCCAGCCTCCCACTGTTACACGACATCTTTAATACCCTCCCCGTAAACTCCTTTACGGTGTCACCCTCCGATGCCCACGTGGCTGGCACCCTCTGGAGTCTGTTCTGTATACAGAACAGCTGGGTGGCTGACAGGCTGGTCTGGCAGGGCACGAGTGCTCTTACCGTTCAGCACAGCATGGCCATCAGCCCACCAGCGACCCGTTAATGCTTCGCGGACAACTGAACTGAGTGAAACATACACAACGAACACGCATAAACCCACAAACAGCCGCTGGAGCTGAGCCACGTCCTCCCGGACCGCCCTCGGTGCACAACTCACCCTCACGCCGTGGAAGATGAGGGGGAAGCCTTTCTTTGGTAACTTTTCCCAGCCCAGCAGGGAGGTCACCCCCTTGGGGTCCGCGCAGACTTCCAGCTCTCTGTGGTAGAACAGCCTGGACGGCAGTGCCAGCAGAGCTGGGTGCGACCTGTAGTTCTTCACGAGCTTCGTAACCTGCAGGGAGAGGGCTGGTAGCAGGTCCAGGGCTGAGCCGGCACATGCATGCTGTGCTGCTGTCCAGGAGAAAGATGCTGAGCCCCACCTCAGATCAGAGCCCCAGGGCTTTCCCTGTGCCCCCTTCTAGGAAGAACTCCTGCACCTCCAACGACTTTCTGAACAAGAGATTTGGTTTCTTAATCGAAATACAACCTACAGTGTTACATGGGTTTCAGGTGTGCAATATAACAATTCAGCAATTCTGCACGTTGCTCAGGATACGTGAACTCTCCATCCCCGGCACTGTTTCCCCCACCCCCCACCCTCATCCCCTCTGGTGACCATCAGTGTGTTCTCTGTATTTAAGAGCCTGTCTGTCTCTTCATTGTGTTTCTTAAATTCCACATATGGGTGAAATCATACGGTATTCGTCTTTAACTATTTCACTTAGCATTATACCCTCTAGATCCATCCATGTCATTGCAAATGGCAAGATTTCACTCTTTTTGATGGCTGAGTAATACTCCATTGTGTATATACCACAGCTTCTTTATCCATTCATTTATCAATGGACACACAGGTCAGAGCAGCCCTTTCTTGAGAGGATTTAGGACAGGGCCTGTCCCCGTCCCCCCTGCTGTGCCCCGCTTTAGGATTCTACTTTATGAGAGAGAGAGAGAGGGAGGGAGAGAGGGAGAGAGAGAAAGAGAGAGAGAGAATGGGGGGGAGCGAAAGCAAGTGCGTGCACAGTGGGAGAGAGAGAAGCAGGCTTCCTGCGGAGCAGGGAGCCCTATGCGGGGCTCAATCCCAGGACCCTGGGATCATGACCTGAGCCGAAGGCAGACGCTTAACGACTGAGCCACCCAGGTGCCCCTAAACTGTTCCCTTTAAGACCTTGTGAGAAAATACAAATTTCACTAAGAGGGTGAACAGGTGAGCATGACTTAAAAGGATCCCCTACAAGAAAAGTACATGCCATCAGCAGGTCTTGGCTTTTCAGAGCCAGGGAGGGTGCAGGTCTTAGAGAGAGGCCCTGATTTGTAGGTGACCTGTGACCCGGAGCAGATGACAGGGCTGGCTCTGGGTGGACATGCAGCCTCCTCTTGATCATGGGGCTTTGGCTGGGGGACTAAGATGAGGAGTGACTGACTGCCTGAGCTGAGCTGCCTGGTGGTGGTCCTGACGGAGCAGGTGATGAACAGGAAGGGCTTACAGCCAGGCGAGGAGGCGGCTGCAAGGACGGCAGGCCACCGTGCGCCTCTCTGGGCTCTCCCCCCTCAGCTTCTGCAGGCTGCTTGCACCTCCAGGCCCCACTCTGCCCTGCAGTCTTGAAGGCACCCTGAAAAGCATCCTCCTACCTTCCTCACCCGTGTCCCCAGCCCCCAGAAAAGGGTCTCTGGCCATGCCATCCCATGGTCAGGGAAAAGGGATGGCAGTGGAGGAGGGCGAGTCTGTGGCCATGGACTGGGCCGAGGGCAGGCCGGGTGCTGCCCGGGAGGCGGCAGCTGCTTGTGCTTGGGGGGACTTGGCAGCCAGGCTCTCGGCAGGTTGAGCAAAGGACACTGCTCTGTGTCCAGACTGCCCTGGGCCTCCCTGACGGTACCACGGGGCCCCAGCAGGATCAGTCCAGGCCCAGGAAGGGCTGCTCCTAGCCCCGGAGTCACTGCTGCAGGATGTCGGAGAGCGAATCCTCTCACTCCACAGCGGGATGAGAGCCACACGTGACCCTGTTCCAGCCTGAACCTACCCTTCGTCCATCCTGTGTCCCTGTCAGTTTGATAAATCCTCCTGACCATGGCCCTGAATCCAGCCTTGGCTGTCTCAGGGCCACGTGGATGGGTCACCTCAGAAGAGCTGGCGCAGGCAGAATCCCACAGGCTGGAATTGGGGTCTTGGTGCCCAGGGAGGGAGCTCTGTCCCACTCCCCCTTCTGTAGGCCCTGGGGGCCCGTTGCATTCTCCAGGGAGCTGCAGGTACCCTTCCCCTTAGACAGGTGCTTCCTGCTCTGCAGGTTGGAAAATGCTGAGGCTCTACAGTCTGACTCGCCTTTCTTGCCCTGCTCCCCGCTCCCCGCCGCTGCCGCCCCCCCCCCCTTTTTGTGACTTCCCCGTCCCTGGGCACAACCACGGCCTCCAGAAAGGCACTGTCCGTGCATCCATCTACCGTCGCTGCCCTACTTGCCCTGGTCCAGCACAGATGGAGGGGAGGCTCCTGGGCAACTGCTGGGAGGGGAGGCGGCCTGCTGGCATCCATGTGCTTTGCACAATGCCTGGCGGTCCCTGCAGCGGTAAGGGCTGCAGCTGGGGCCCGACAGCGAGGCCGACGCATGCTCGGTGTCTCCCCGCCGGCCACCAGGGTGCCCTAACCGCCACTGGGCTCCTCACTGACGCCAGGGATGAAACACATTTCCTCTAGCCCAGAGATTTTAATGCCCACCACCTGACTGGACTGCACTGTCCCTGACAGAACTCTTCCCCCGCAAGATACATTCGGACTGCCCAGCTCCTGAGAACAACGGGTTTGCTGAGGAGAAGGTGTTCCGGAGCCAGCTCCTCCGAACCCGTGGGCAGGCTCAAAGCTCTGTGTTTCAACAGAAGACGTGAACGTCAGGCAAACAGACGGAGAGGGGGCTGCTCGGATGGTCTTCCTTGGGGGCAGGGGGGCTGGCTGTGTGCCGGGCTGCATGCTTCACTCTGCACTCACTGGCTCACAGCCCTGGCCTTTCCATGCACCCACGAAGCCTTGTCTCAGCTTGGCTGCAGGCAGCCATTGGCGCCTGGGCTGTGAGGCCACGGGGCTAAGGGCACATACCCCAGACCCACAGCCAGCTGCGGTGACGTCACCAGTGCAGGGAGCAAGAACCACCTATGTTCTGCCTCCGACTGGCCCGGGGTGTCATTCAGTACAAGGCGCCCTCCCTTGTTCCTGCGGGGAGGACACGGTAGGCCCCAGGACTTTTCTGCTACCTGATGGCAGCCAACGTCAACTCAGTTGTTACAGCGTGTCCAATCTCCAAGATGCTAACCAAAACCCCAAACTCAATTTGGCATCTCAGCTTCTCGCTCCCTCAAGCCAGGCCTTCCGTCAGCCTATAGGGTGCCAGAAGAGAGCCCTGCCCCCAGACACTTGCTGTAGCTTCAAGGGCCTCTGGGGAGAAAGGAGGTGCAGTGTACTCAGGCCCAGGCAGCTCTGCCATCCGATCCTGGCTGGAGGCCTCCCCTTCCTCCAGCTGCCTGTCAGTCTTGGGGACATGAATGCTGGGGACACAGAGGTGTCTCCCACAGGCATGGGGCTCTCTGCTGCCCAGTCTGGGCCATGGTCCTCAGTACCTCCCGAAGGTCCAGTGCTCCCCAGCACCCCCACCCCCCACATGCTCTCCTGCCTTCTCTATTCTCCAGGGGGTAAAAGCCCTGACGACCAACAGCCTGGCATGGGTCTCAAGCCATTTCCAGGAAAATCTGCGCAGCATCACTGCATCTCGTTTCTGTTCACTGTTAAAGTTTAGAAGGAACTGTCCTTGTTTTCATGCCGTAGGCATTCAGAGAACACGCTACTTGGCTCATCTTAATGAGCGATCCCAGCAACCCAAGGTTCCCGAGCTCCAGTGTGCTGGGAGGCGGGGCGGTGGGCTAAACTGCAGACTGCAAGGCCCATCCCTCAAAGCGGTCCCAGTTGGGCTGAGGAGGGAATCTGCAGGTTAACCAGCAGACTAGCTCCACAGGGGGACACGTGGCCTTGTCTTTCAGATGAGAAGTTACAGGGCTCTTTCCCATTTTCCCACGTTAATCCAGATTTCACTCATACTGTGTTTGGCCCCACAGAACCTCCACCATCAGCCTTGGATGGGACTGCCTGGAATTGTGGATCCCTCTGGGGCCGTGAAGCACCCGTCTGAGTGGCTGGGACAGGCGTGCTGGCCAAAGTCCCCTCTGAGATGGGAGGGGGACTGTGAGCTGTCGGCCTCCTCCGCTCCCCGGGGTGCGGCTCAGTGCACGCATGGAGCGGAGCCCGCTGCTACAGGGACTGTGGTGGGACCCCGCGAGGAGCCAGGGGCCACGAGGAGTCTGTGCTTACCAACAAGGGGTTGTAGGCACCACAAGCACCAAAAGCGTCTTCGTCCCTCAGATACGCTGGCCGGGACATCAGTCTTTCCAACATAGACACATTCAGCCCATAGGCCATGGCGAGTCTGGACTTAATGACAGGTCCGAGCTGCATGGGGTCTCCGGCAAGGACAATCTGTGGCACACAGACGGGCAGCCCCACTAGAACAGTCACCCACACTCACCACCACAGCCCAGGGAGGCTCAGGAAACAGGTGTGGGGGCACCATGCATGCAACGGCCTGGCCTCCTGCCCTCTGATGGCCAACCGAGGCTCCCTGAGTATAAGCTGGGAGGCAGCGGGCCCCCACAATCACCTGGGCTGCAGAAGACGGGGAGGCGGCATGGCTGCCCGAGTGAGGGGGCAGAGACTCAGACAAGAGCAGTGGGGGATGTGAAGGAACAAACTGGCTGGGCAGCCTCTGCCCCGGTCTTCTGGAAGTACTCTGCCCTTCCTCCTGGACACTGCCCTTTTCCCGCCCACCCTGTCACCCCCCGGCCCATGCAGCAGCTAAACTACGTCTGCTCCCTGCTCTGTCTCTGTGCAGCCCCTGCACCTGACAGTCGAGATGGGAGGAGGCAGGTGTCTGAGGGACCAGGAGAAGCTGGAAAGGTCCCTTCTCGGGTGAGTATATACAGGTGCAGAGAGCAGGCTAACAGGTCGGTCCCAGGGTGAGTACTGGAGGAGGCAGCAGGTGTGAGCAAGAAAAGAGCCAAAGCATCAGCCTCGGCTAACTGGGCTGAGCACCGAGGGGCAGTGGAAGGGGGCAGAGTGGTCAGGTCCTGGGCAGCGAGCCAGGGCAATGCCTGGATGTCCCCGCCCTGCTGCACAGCTCTTAGTGCTGTTTTAGAAGCGAATCCAAAGACAGAGCAACCCTTTCTTCCCTGTGCACAAGCAATGAAGTATGTGGCCAAACACAAGGCCTCCGCCTCACAGAGCCTCAGGGTCCTTGGTACCGCACCTGAGCCTGTCACCCTGGGCTTGTCCTGTGCAGAGACTAAGGTCGGGCGTCCAGAGCACCCACCAGTGCAGGAAAAATGGGAGGAGACCACATAGCAAACAGGCCTTACCTGGCCGTTGGCATCTGAAACCAGCCCCAGTGGAATAAGGCATTCCGGCTCACTCGCCTGTCCTGCTTCGTCCACAAACACGTGTGTAAAATGTCCGACTCTAGACCAAAGATGTTCTCCATGGTCATTTCTGTCCAAGTGTCTTGGCAAGCAACAGCCAACACACACTGCATGGCCACTTCTGCAGCCGCACCTGGCGGGCTGGCCCAGGAAGGTGGGGCTCACCTGGTCTGGACCAACTCCAGGCCACCAGCGCCTGGGGCTCTGTACATGTCTGTGTTTAAGTGGATCCAGAGGCAAACAGGATGAGGGGTGGGAATGAGCAAACTAATGAGACTCACATCAGAGCAGATGCTCCTCACACCTGTTTGAGGCCCAGCTGGAACACAGCTCCACTGCCCACAAACCAAGTGATCCTGGGCAGGCGGCACTGCCTCTGTGCCTCAGTTTCCCCAACATGGCAGATGTGAGAACAGGGTGAGCTGGTCAAGCTGAGCGACGCCCCCACATGGTGGTTGCTACCCTCCCTGACTTGTGCTCTCCAGCATGCTCTGAGCTAGGACGATACCCCAGTGCTCTAGACCCCCAGGGGTCCAGGGGAGAGTGCTGAGCATGTGCTCTGGGCCCCGGGCAGCCCCTGCCCCACTGGAAGCCCAGAGAAAAGATCTGCTGCAGGGACACCGTGCCGGAAGCCCCAGAACTGCTGGTGACAGGACAAACTCTGGACTGAGCCCGACAGGGACCCCATCAGAGCCTGCTGGTGTGCAGTGAAGCAGCTCTGGGTCCCCACCTCGTCTTTCCACCAGGAGTCAGGTTACAACCCTACCATGACACCCCCAGATCCCTCCGTATGGAAGATGAGGAAATCGCATGCTTCCATCTTTCTTTCCTACCTCATGTCCCAATTCCTGCTGAAGAAACTCCACACTATGTATCTTTCTTAGAATATAAGCACTTCTCAATTTTTAATAAGTCAGTTATTTAGTTATTTTCATGAGTCCACATTGTTCCGTGTTTACACCTTCTCAGCTTTGTGCAGCCCCAGCTGCCTGTTGGTCTCCCAGCTGCTGCTGTGGGCTCCTTCCTCATCCTCTGGGGTCTTCCCTCCCCCCAGCCCATGTTCTCGTATCCTGCCCCACACGGAAGCTCCATGAGGACAGAGACACTATTTCTGTGGGTCCCAGCACCCCGAGCTGTGCCCAGTGCCTACCTCACTCCTATCTGGTAAAACAGCCCCGCACTGCTGCACGTCGTGATGATGATCCTGAAGCGCGAGGCCTTCCATATATCTTCCCCATCTTTGCAGTACCGCTTGATGGCGTCAGTGACTGTCTGGAGGGAGGATGGGGCCAGCTTACTTCTCAAAACATTGTTTCTTTAAATTGGACACAGTCACAAAGCTGAAAAGCATTCTAAAAGATAACGTCCTACTCCCACTTCTTATTTATGACTAAGTAATGACTTAAGACTGTTTTCCTGAACTAGAATATTTTACATTTTACTGTCAACTTTGTCCACGTTCTGCAGACTCTACGGCCGTGACCAGAACACAAAATCCTGCAGATCCTTCCCTCAGACAACTGTATACATTTCCTAGATTCAGTTTCTTTTGTTAACCAAACCAAGAACTTCTAATTCTCCTAAAGAGGTATTTATAGATAAGTCAATAAAACAGAACCCAGAAGGAACAACACATTTCGGTGTAAATAGGGGAGGAGCGCCAGGATTTAATAAAGCGGAGAATGCCAGGGGAGCCTCGGTGGCTCAGTCAGCTAAGCCTCCGACTCCTGATTTCGGCTCGGGTCATGATCTCAGGGTTCTGAGATCGAGCCCCGCATCGGGCTCAGCACCGGGCACGGAGTCTGCTTCCAATTCTCTCCCTCCCTCTGCCCCTCTCCCGCTCTGACAAAAAACCGCTGAGAATGCCCGTCTCACAGAGGAAGGAAAATGTAGTTAAAGCTAGGCGGGGGTGGACAGGACTTTTCTATCCCAGCTGGCTGTTGACGGCTCACCTCCTCAAACCTGCAGGTGGCGTTTACACGGACCATGGCACCGGGCCGCAGCACCTGGCTCTCATGCAGCCGCAGACACACGAGGTCGGCCGCACTGTTGGAGGGCGCACAGACCAATATCCGACTGTCCGGCAAAGCGTAGTACACCTTCAACCAGGACACAGGACACACGGGGATAAATGTCAACCTGTCAAGTGCTCGCGCTCACCATGCGGGCGTGGACACGTAGGCTCACGCCCACCCCTTCTGTGCCTGATGCCTGGCCACTGACACATGCAGGGATGGTTCTGCCCCTCACGTGCACGTGCCAACAAGACACGAGAGGGGGTGAGAGTTCTCTGTTCTCCAGGACCCTAACCTACTCCCCCAAACCTCCAAGACCCTAACCTACCGCCCCCCAGACCTCCAGGACCCTGACCTACCCCCCCCAGACCTCCAGGACCCTGACCTACCCCCCCGGACCACCAGGACCCTAACTTACCCCCCCAGATCTCCAGGACCCTAACCTACGTCACTCAGACCTTCAGGATGCTGACCTACCTCCACCTACCCCCCCAGACCTCCAGGACCCTGACCTACCCCCCCAAACCTCCAGGACCCTGACCTACCCCCCAAGACCTTCAGGACCCTGACCTACCCCCCCAGACCTCCAGGACCCTGACCTACCCACCCCCAGACCTCCAGGACCCTGACCTACCCCTCCAGACCTCCAGGACCCTGCCTACCTCCCCAGACCTCCAGGACCCTGACCTACCCACCCCCAAACCTTCAGGACCCTGACCTACCTCCGCAGACCTCCAGGACCCTGACCTACCCACCCCCAGACCTTCAGGACCCTGACCTACCCCTCCAGACCTCCAGGACCCTGACCTACC